CCAACACACCCATCCCAAACCCCAACAAACCCATCCCAAACCCCAACACACCCATCCCAAACCCCAACACACCCATCCCAAATACCAACAAGCACATCCCAACCCCCAACAAACACATCCCAGAACTAAACAAACCCATCCCAAACCTCAATAAACGCATCCCAGAATTAAACAAACTCATCCCAAAACCCAACCACGGAGCTCCAGAGGCACATAAAGACATGACCCTCATGCCATGGATGTGTCCCTGGTGCTGCTGGCAGCAGATTCTCCATCCCAATTGATTGGCTCAGTTGGTCAAAGCATGGTGCTAATAATGCCAAGGTTGTGGGTTCCATCCCCACATCTCCATTTACTTAATAATTGGACTTGATGATCCTTGTGGGTCCCTTCCAACTCAGAATATTCTGTGATTTCTGGGAGTATCTGTCTATATGTGAGGTGCCTGTGCCTCCCAACATTGTGCTGAAGATGAAATGAAACCAGACTTAGACTTTTGCTCTGTTCTTTTTCACTCTGTGGAGTGGATTTTTTGCCTCTGCAGAGGTTTGGGGTTTTTTGCCAGTGAAGGTTTTACCCATGAGACCAAGGCAGGGGGTGCTGGATCAGGTCTGTGTGTTATATAAACTTTAAAATAGCCACATACAGGTTCCTGCATTTTTATTGCAGACTGGAATATCTACAATATATGCATAAATAGAATCCTAAATTGCCCCACAGGCAGCCATGGACTTCATTTCTTTCTGCCTGCTGCCACCTTGGCTCCTCAGACACTTTCAGGGGTCATTTTGTTGTTTTGTTGGAAGGGGCTGCCCAGGGAGGTTTGGAGTCCCCATCTCTGGAGGTGCCCAAGGAAGGCCTGGATGTGGCACTCAGTGCTCTGGGCTGGTGATGGGGCACAGGTTGGACTCCATGACCTTGAAGGTCTTTTCCAGCCTAAATCATTCTGGAGTTCTATATTTTCTTTTAAGGCCCCAGAGAAATACGGCTCAGCCAGTCTTCTTATGGAGTCCTTCAACAGAAGCTCTGTAAATTTGGCCTATTTACACCAAACGTGTTTGACAGAATGGGGTAATTTGTAGGGTGAACAAGGTGCTCTGCAGGGTTTCTATAGCTGAATGAGTTGTTGTGTGCTCAAATGAGGTATTTTGTAGCAGAATTCTCTCCCAGAACCGTGGATTCTGTTGGGTTTCCCCCAGAGCAGATCTGTGGCCACCTGCAGATAACACAAAGGACATCGCCACCTCCTGGCAAAGGGACAGTAACGGTTTAACACCGGAGCGAGCCCGGGGAAGGAGTTCAGGGTCTCACCCCCGAGATTGCCAAACTGCACCGACCTCGACCGGTCCTGTGGGTGCTGAGCAGCCAGGAGGGCAGGGGCACCAGGAAGGTCGTGCTCTAAAGAAAATCATGGAGTGATGGAATA